CTGCCATCGCCGATCCTGGTCCATATTTACAGTCCTGCCCGGAGCTATGCCCTGCCGTCCCGCCTGCCACCCAGACGTTGTTCAAAGCCTCCCATGGGAGGCTCTCCGTGGACGAGGTGGCAGGTGATGGGCGCCGGTGAGGACGGCGGTGCAGAGGCCAGGGCTCAGGCACCCGCACTGGCGGTGAGGTCTCATCCGCACCAGCTCCGGAGGCCCGAGGGCAGGAGCGCTGCTGGGCCTCCCCTCCCCAGTAAAGGCCGTGATCTGAACCTGCACCCGCCTGCGGGACAGAGCGGCCAGTTCAGGCCCTGGAAGCAGCACAGGCCACGCCCGTGGCACGTTCCGGCCACCTGTGGCTCGAGTCACGTCCGCCCGTCATCGGGTGGAGTGGGTCCGGCACATCCGCCCTGGCAGCGGGTGTGTCTGGAATGGGACCCAGGGAAGGGGCCCAGGGCAATGGTGCCTGGTTGGCCACGCCCTCCATTGTAGAAGGCTGGAGGGGGGAGGAGGAGCTGGCCACACTCCATCACACAGGTGGCACAGCCCAGAAACGTGGCCACCTGCATCTGAAGCCTCCGAGGCAGTGCAGAGGGGACTCAGCCCCTCGGCTTCCTCGGCTTCCTTCCTTCCACCTGGGTAAAGGACAATCAATGTGCTTCAGCCCAGCTACACAGCGAGACTCAGCTCTTAAAAGAGCTGGGGCTGCCGGGCGCCGGGGGCTCACGCCTGTAATCCTAACTGCCCAGGAAGCTACTCGGGAAGATCTTTTCAGGGCAGAAAAGTCCGTGAGACTCTTCTCTCCATTAAACTACCAAAAAGCCACAAGTGTCGCTGTGGCTCAAAGTGATAGAGCAGTAGTCGTGAGCACAAAACAGCTCAGGGACAATGAGTTCAAGCCCCCGGGATTGACAAAGGCTAGGAAAGGGGCAGCGGCTTGGCTCAAGTGATAGAGGCTTTGCCCAGCAAGTGCCAAGGCCTAAGTTCAGCCCCAGCACAAAACACACATCAGAGAAAACAAGCTGGAGCTTCCAGGAAAGCCGGCGGCCGCCCGCACTGGTCTGCCTCACACAACGAAGCTCAGCAGATGCCCGCAGCCTCATCCACATTCTAACTGTCCCCGGTCCCCGCCTGTCCGGGCTCCGCGGCTGCCGCAGATCGGGGGGTGTTGGTACCTGGGACCAGAGCTGCACGCTTGCCCCTAAGCATAAAATGGGTTGGTTCTGAACTTCACTGTCAGTGCCAAACGGAGAGGGGCCGTGGGGCCTGGACCATGTCCTGTGGACTCTCCTGATGGTTTGTTTTTTAAGTTGTTGTGCCAGTACTGGGGCTTGAACTCAGGGCCCTGTGCTCTCCTTTAGCTTTTTCAACCAAGGATGGCACCATACCGCCCCTCCAGCTCCAGCTCTTTACTGGTAAACAAGATCAGAGTCTCGGGTTTGTCTGCCCGTGCTGACTTCTCAAACCGCGATCCTCGGTCTCAGCTTCTGAGCAGCTAGGATTCCAGTTGAGAACCACCAGTGCCCGGCTCCTATCTTGATTTTGTACGAAGCAGGCCTGAGGGCAGGAGGAGGCGGCTGAGGGCAGCTCAGGGTCTCTGTGGAAAACGGTAGTCGGTCACTGGGTCTGAGGTCAGTATAGAGGCTTGCAGAGGAGACGTACGTGTGTGTGCGTGTGCGCGTGTGTGCGTGCGTGCGTGTGGTGCGTGTGTGTATGCGTGCGTGTGCGTGTGTGTGCGTGTGTATGAGTGCATGTGTGTATGCACATGTTTGTGTGTGTGCATGTACATGTGTGTATGTGCGCGCGTGTGTGTGTGCGCACGCGCGCATCCCTCTGCCAGGCCCGACGGGCACAGCTTGGCAGGAGGCCAGCCAAGACCACAGATACCCTGCCACAGTGACTGAGCAGTGACTGCTTCCAGTGTGCCCGCCTGTGCCTCAGGCCCTGGGGACGTCACCGGTGACAAAGCTGCCAGCAGCTCCCCAGGAATGCCACGGGGCCAGCCTCCCGCCCGGAGCTGCCGCTGCCCCATGACACCTCAAGCTCCTTCCTGTGCGTGCGAGGGTCATCTCCCGTGTCCTCTGTGGGCTCCCACAGGGGCCACGCCGGGCCGCTCAGCCCTGCTCCCTGGGGACTCTGAGGCCATCAAGGAAAAGACACAGCGGGGGTGACACTGGCTCTGGGGGCGCAGGGCAGCAGAGAGTGGGGCAGGCCCCATCTGAGGGGGCGAGCCCCTGGCCCAGCCTTGAAGATTACTTGGAAGTAGCAGTAGAGTGGGGCATATGTGTGTGTGTGCGCGCATGTGCACGTGTGCCCATGGGCACATTACCCTCTCTCCTTCTCCCCCACCCTGTCCACTCTACGTCCCTTCTCCCACTCCACCTTAAGGTGTATGGCAGAGCCTGGTGAGGAGCCATAGTCCCTGGCTTGGGCTGGGCACCTCCACGGTGGGCACCTGGGGTGTTTGCCGCTGCTCTGGGCCCTGCAGAGGGCAGGGGAGGAGGGTGGGATCAGGACACCCTCTGGGACAATGTGACCCTCCAGGCGGCGGGGGGTGTGCCCCAGGGGGCTGCCGCCGGTGCCTTGTTCTGGAGTGGCTTGGGCCATGGCTTCCTTCGGCCTTCCTGGCTCTCACCCAGGGCCCACAGCAGCCGCTGCCCGCCGCTCAGAGCCTGGCCTCCTCGTGCCCAGAGCTCACAGCCTGGGAGCTACCCTGCCGCCATCTCTGCATGTTGGTTCAGGATGAGGCTGGGTGTAGAGTCAGGAAACCAAGGCTGAGCTCCGTTCCCCGCAGCCTGGCCGGTGGTCTTGGGCGGGACCCGTTGTCCCCCGGGTGGAAGAGCGCATGCCACCGGTGCCGAGTGATCTCAGGAGGCTCGGGGCAAGTGGCCACAGGGGAGGCGCTGGCGGCTGACACTAAGGCCTTGGCGCTCTGGACGCCATGGCTTGGCTGACGCCCGGCTATAACCCCAGCTGGGCTCTGGCTGAGCCGCTGGTTGGGGCTAGAAGGCACCCTCAGAATGGAAAACTGTCTTCTAAGATCCTTTGGGAATCAGGCCCCTGAGGGCCTGGCCCAAGGAGAGGCCTCTGTCCCACGGGCACCGTGCCCACGGGGGACCCACAGAGCGATGTGGCAGGTGCCAGGCTGTTTGTGAGGCCTGAGTGGCTGGGGGAGCGGGCCTAGGTGGTACAGAGGCCACGGCAGGTCCTGGTCAGCACCAGAGGGGCGGGAAGGGTGGGAGTGGCAGGTTGGGAGTCTGGAGCTCTGCCTTCCCCAGACCCATCGTCCTGCCCTGCCTGGGAGCCCCCTTTCCTTTGGGAATGATGTGTACCAGGGACATAATGTGTACTGCCCCCTCGGGGAGGAGCCTCAGGAGTCTCTGGACAGGTCCCGGGGTGGGTGGCACCCCACCGCGCAGTTCTGGTGGGTCCTGTGCCCCAATCCCGCCGGGTACCCCTTGTCCAGCACAACCACAGGGTAGGTGGACATCAACGTGTGTGCAGACACTGGAGCAGCTCGGGGGAGGCCCTGAACTCAGCCTTCAGTGCTGCCTGCCTCATTCAAAGGCTACAGCACTGATGCTCAGAGAGGGAAAACCACCTGCACCAGCCACACAGCAGTGCAGCCAGGCACCATGCAGTGCTGGAGCCCGCGCTAGTGTCCCTGCCTGAGATTGCTGAGATGAGACCCCACCTTTCTGCCTCCAGGAAGAAGGGAAATGCCCTCTACCACTTGCTGTGGTCCAGGCACCCCACCCCCACACCCACTATAGGGTTCAGTGACCTGCATTGGCCAGAGCCAGGCCCGCCCCAGGTGGGCCTCCTGCCCTGGGAGGCAGCAAGGAGGAGGCCCAGCCCTGAGCCATGGCTCCCTGCTGGGGTCAGGCCTGGGCCAGGCCTGCCCACTCCCACGGTCTCTGGGGGAGGCACGGGGGACACCGCCAGCCTGGGGGAGGCACGGGGGACACCGCCAGCCCCAGCCACATCGCCGTAGGCACAGATGGTTCTCATTGCCTGCTGCCTCTCTTCCCTGGGAAAAACAAACCAACTCAGGGCCAACAGAGCCTTGTATATCTTGTGTTTATTTTTGTTGCCATTTTCCTGTGCAGGAAGCCACTGTGCCGTGGGCAGCGTCTGTGAGAATCTGGCCAGGGTGGCCTTGGCATCCTCCCCCGGGCTCAGGCAGCTCTGGGGAGGGACGGGGGTGATCCTGGGAGTCGTTTCGCCCCCAGACTGGTTCCTGTCCGCTGTGGCTCACGGCCACTCTTCCAGGGTCTCCAGCCATGCCAGGAGGGCTGAGATCTGGGTCAGGGAGCGGGCCAGAGCCAGGTTAGACCTCAGCTGGGCAACTGCCCGGGGCCCTGCGGCGCCGGCTGTGCCTGGCGGGGGCACTCACGGGTCAGGACCTCCGCTCAAAACTCCAGAGGCTGGGGTCCCCGGACGGGGCCCTCTGCCCTCCCTGTGAGCCCCCCAACTCCCCCATCCATCAGGACACCAAGGCTGGGAGGGGCAGCCCCAGGGACAGCCCCAGGGCGTGGGGTCCCACAGTTAGGCAGCTAGGCATGCGTGGTCAGCTTACGCTGGCAGAGGGGTCCCAAGGCCCGCACCCCGCAGCAGGGGCAGGAGGGCGTGGACCCCCCAGGGCCGGGCAGCCGTGCTCAGCCCTGGGGGTGAGGGGGACCCCTTGGGGGACTGAGGCCTTCCAGGGTGCCTGTGCCAACCTCAGCCTCAAAGCCCCTGCCCCTCCTCCACCGAGCCTCCCCCCTCCTGCCCACCCCGCAGGGGAGGCAGGCCAGCCCTCCGTGGTCAGCCGCTGGGCTGTGGTGGCTGGCGGGTGGGCGTCCCAGTCCTCCCTCCCTCCCCCTCCCTTCCCCGCCCCCTGTCCGGGCGGCGATGACATCACAGCGCGGCGCAGGAGGGGTGGCGGTGTCCCGCGCACATCACTTCCTCGGCGCCTCCTGCGGGCGCTGACGCGCAGACAGACGGACAGAAGGACAGGCAGACACGCGCGCGCGGACGGCAGAGAGGCCGCCGACAGGAGGGAGGGCGAGGAGGGCCTGCTCGGCTCTGGGCGCCCCGACCCATGGCAAGCCCCGCCCCGCCTGCGGCCGAGGAGCTACCGGGCCCGGCCACCAGGCGCCTCTACTCCAGGTACCGGACGGCTCTAGTCAGGAGCGGGCGGCGACCGCGGAGGGCCGGGCCGGCGGGCTGCGGGCGGCGGGCGGCCGGGAACAAAGGCGGCGGTGGCTCAGGCAACGTGGCCAGGCCGCGCCTCCCTCCCGACTGGGCGATGGGGACGTGGTCCCGGCCAGCCGGCCCAAGGCCAGGGTCTCAGGCGCAGGCTGCGGCCCTCCGCCCACGCCACAGGGGTGGGCCAGGCATGCATGCCACCCGGTGCCCGGCGCCCCCAACCTGGCTAGTCTGACCTGGTGCAGGGCAGCACGGCCAGACCCCCTTTGTCAGGGCCCGGGCCCTGCCCGCTGGCCATCCCTGAGCCCCACGCCAGCTGGACCTGGGGCCCAGCCAGCCGAGTGGGTGTGTGCCTTCCTGAAAAGACACCTGCGCCCCAGGCGGCTCGCAGGCGATCGGTCCCGCTCTGCGTCACGCCGTTGGCGTGGTCCGGCCCCTGGCTGCATGCCTGCCCGGTGACTCCCAGCCTGTGGAGCCGTGCGAGGCCTGGCTGTGAACACACGGCCCCCAGAGGGACCAGCAGCTCCCAGTCCACTCAGGGGGCAGAGCTGAGTGCCGGGCAGGGCTGCGCCTTGGCCCCGGCCCCGGGGCAGGTCCGGCGCCCAGTGGCCTCTAACTCTTGGGGGCTGCCATTCGGATCACTCCAGCAGTCCTCCTTCCCAGGAGCCTCCCCCAGCAAGTCTGGCCCAGCCCGGCCATCCATCAGCCAGGCACCCCAAGAGGCCCAGAGGCCAGTGGACGGCCTCATCCCCCCCCCAATCTTGTTCTTCTCTGTGCTGCTGTTCAAAGACAGCCTCTTTTGTGTGGCCTGGGGTCCACGGCTGAGCCCCTGGTCTGGCTTCTGGGCCTCCGAGGGGCAGGGGTGTGGCAGGAGTGACAGGGACAGGTTTGCAGGCAGCTCACACAGGAAGCCTGTCTCGAAGGCTTCATCCCAGGTCTCCGGAGCGGAATGGGGGCTGTACAGGGTGGCAGGGGTCCCCGGGTCACCCATCTCTGTGGCGGGAGCTGACCAGGCTGCAGTGTGGGACCGGCCTGCACACGGGGAGAGGGTGGTCCTGAGGGATGGATCCGGGGCCTCCACCCTGCGTCTGCCACCGTCAGGCCCCGCCTGGGAGCCGGGCCCGGGGTGGACACTCCAGACAATGCTGGCCTGGGGGTCAGCACTGGGCAGGGCTGGTAGAGAGGTCACTCAAGCCCTGACGGCACCCCTTCAAGCTAAGACACAAACTGAACTAAAGGCTGACCCGGACCCAGATTTGGGGTGAATGGCACGTGCCTTTCTTGAGGGCTATGGAGGAGGTTCTGCAGGGAGGCTGGGCCCTACCTGACCACAGTCACAGATGGGTTCGGGCAGCCAGTGGCTGGTCAAGGTGGACGGTGGCGCTTCTGGAGCTGGGCTGTGGAGCACGTGGAGCAGTAGGGAGTCCTGAGGAGGGGGAGCAAGCCCGACACCCTCCAGCCCTGCCTTCCTGTGGAGCCCAGCGTGTCCGGGGAAGCCTGGTGGCTGCTGGGAGGGGGGCTGTGGTGCCCTGTGCCTGGATGCCGGACGCTGGGCATCCTAGAGGACAGTCCATGGCACAGGCTCTCCTCTCCTCTGCCCCTCCCAGGAGCTTCTCCTTCCCACAAGCCCCTGTCTGGAGAGAGTTTGGTTATCAGAAGTAGGGGCTGTGCTGGGAAAAACTGCACACTGGCCGTGTGTGCTGGGGGAGGATGGATGGAACCCGGGCCCCCAATCTCAGGGGAAGGCCAGGGGTGGGGGCGCTAAAGGACTCAGTGGGTAGGGCGAGGGGTCCCTCCCGCTGCCCTGCAGGCCCCCGCTCAGTGAGGCTGGAGGGGAGGGGAGGCAGGGGCCATCTTGGGGTGGCCCTGCCCTGGGGCGGCCCACAGGGGGCATCCTCAGATGTACGCCGGGTCCCTGGGGCCACACGGCACCGTCTCTGCCTTCCCGCCCCATTACTCTGTCCCCAGCAGGACGTCAGGGAACAGCCACTATCAGGACCCTTCCCTGTCCTAGCCCTGGGAGCTCCTGTAAGCATGGCCCTCAAGTATGTCCTGAGGGGAGTTGGGAGCTCCCCTCCTTCCCAGCGGTCCCCACTCCCCCACCCTCCCCCACAGGTCTGTACCTGCTCCCTCCACCCTGCACCAAAGTTCAGAGTGGTTTGGCCAGGAGGCGGGGGGGGGGGGGGGGATGATGGGGGAGGACTTGAGGCTGATTGTGAGCCTGGAGTAGTGGCCAGGGACCAGTGCGGTAACAGGCCAGAGAGGGGGAGACGGGCAGGGCACAGGCAGACGGGCACCAGGACAACACCCCCAGAGCCACAGGTGGTAGGAGCTGGGACCCTGGCTAAGGAGCCAGCCTGGTGGGGCACCCCAGGGCACCGGGATCCTGTGGGGGCAAACAGCTGGGGCTAGAGGCACTGAAGGGCAATGGAGCCATGGGCTGCTAGTTTCTACCAGCACCCGTGCTGGGTGTGCGGCCAGCCACAGGGGTATAGGCAGGCTGTGCTAGCCACAGGCTGGCCACCAGAAGGCTGGCCCCGCATCACTGAGCCCTCGCTGACAGGTCACCAGCAGGCAGCAGAGGGATCTTGGCCGGCAGCGGCCAGCCTCCCCGCTAGCTGCTGTGGTCTGGCACAGGCAGCCACGCGGTAGGAAGGATCTGAGGCGTGGGTTGAGCGGAACCTGTGGGTAGAGAGGGTCGGCCGGCTGGTCCCCAGCCTGCAGTGTGGTGGGAGGTCAGGCACTGTTGGTTTTCAATTCATCTATGTTGCTCTGCTTAGCAAGGTAGCAAATCTCAGACACGCGGCCCACACCTAGGATGATGGGAGGGGCTAAGCCCTGGCCCCAGAGAGCCCGTAGCCCTTGAGGTGGACAGGTCTTCCAGAGGCCCAGAGAGCCTGGCATCTGTCTGCAGCCCCTCAAGTGGCCAGTGCTTACAGGTACCTGACAGGGGACTGACCCAGTCATACTCTGCAGGCCTGCAGAGGTAGGGCAGAGAGCCAGGGTTCCAGAATCTTCCTCACTGTGCTGGCCTGGCCCCCCAAGAAGGCAGAAGAGGTTGGGTTGCATGCAGATCAAGGAAGCCTGTGGTCCACATGGGGGCCGGGGACGCTGCCTGTCCCTACTGGCCAAGAGGTCCATGCTAGGCCAGGAAAAACCATCATGGCCATGGGACAGGGAGGGGTTCGTCAGGGCCTTCCTGGGGCTGCTGCCCCGGCTGAGACCCCAAGGTGACCCTAGGCCTCCACTCTCTCGTCCTTGGTGCCAGGGTCCCCATACCAGGGCCCCACGCTGTTGCTCAGTCTCAGGAGACCCCTCCACCCCAGGGCACCGGCCAGGATGCACCCGGGCCTTTTGTGCCCACTGTCCAGCTCAGAGATATTGGGGCTCCCTCTCCTCTCTCCCAGACCCTGTGTGGCCCACAGGGTCTTGGGCCTCACCTCAGATGTCCTGCGAGGGTGGACACGTCCAGCTGGGGGTGTCCTATGGGGCGGTGGGGCCTCCCCCATGTTGGGCACCTGTGCCAGTGCCAGCGAGGCCGCAGAGCTGGCCAGGCTGAGGGTAGATAGCACACTAGGTCCCCGCGCGGCCTTGCCACCCCTGGGATGGGCCCTCCTGGACGGCGCGCCGTGGGAGAGTTCAGCTGTCTGTCAGCTATGGGCATACGCGCGGAGCGGGGCTGGGCACCGACCTTCCTCCCAGCAATGTTGACCAGCGCCCACCGTGGGAAGTACCTGACCCCCCAGCAGCTGACCCCGGAACTGGCCGTGGGCTCTGACCGGCAGAAAGGCTCGCTGGGGAGGAGCACGTGCTACAGCGCAGATGCCTCTGCCCCTCCCCCCCAGAACAGGAGGACAGCAGGGATTACCTGGGCTCCCCACCCCCAGCTGTCAGTGCTCTGAGCCGCCCTGATCCCCAATCTGCCTCAGATACCCCGGAGGAGGAGGGCCCAGAGTCCGCTGCCGCCAGGGCAGAAGCCTGGGCTGGCAAGACCCCGCGACCCGCACCCTGCCATGCCCGCCCCCCCCGTGGAGGGCCCGCCGCTGGCCCTGAGCCTGGCAGAGAAGGCCATGTGCAAGGTGGTGTATGGCGCACCGCGCCCCCGCCCGCTGCTGCTGCCCGTGGGCCTGGAGCTCTGGCTGTACGTGCAGAAGATGCGCAACTTGCACAGGACGAGGTGGGGGCCTGCGGCATGAGGCCTGGCAGGCGCTGAGTGTGAGGAGGGACAGGGTCTGGTGGTGTGAGGTCTGGTGGTGTGGGGTCTGGTGGTGTGGGGTCTGGTGGTGTGAGTTCTGGTGGTGTGAGGTCTGGTGGTGTGAGTTCTGGTGGTGTGAGTTCTGGTGGTGTGGGGTCTGGTGGTGTGAGTTCTGGTGGTGTGAGGTCTGGTGGTGTGGGGTCTGGTGGTGTGGGGTCTGGTGGTGTGAGGTCTGGTGGTGTGGGGTCTGGTGGGGTCTGGTGGTGTGGGGTCTGGTGGTGTGGGGTCTGGTGGTGTGGGGTCTGGTGGTGTGAGTTCTGGTGGTGTGGGGTCTGGTGGTGTGGGGTCTGGTGGTGTGAGCTGGTGGTGTGGGGTCTGGTGGTGTGGGGTCTGGTGGTGTGAGGTCTGGTGGTGTGAGTTCTGGTGGTGTGGGGTCTGATGGTGTGGGGTCTGGTGGTGTGGGGTCTGGTGGTGTGGGGGCCTGGCTCGCGGATGGAGTGTCACAGGCCCAGGCTGTCTCTCCTCCACAGTCACCTGGAAGGACAGCTGTAATCAAACAAGCAGGTGGACAGGGATGTTGTCTTGTGATTGGTAACCAAGTGACCCTCCTGGTAGCCAAATCGACTCCAGCAGCCCTTCCAAGGGGTCCAATGAGGGCCTGCCCCCAGCCTGGCAGGTGTGGGCAGGAGGTCTTGGGTGCTGGGGAAGGCAGGCAGCTCAGTGGTTTGGCCTTCTAGTCTCAAAACCACCATCCTGTCCCCTAGCCATGTGGCTCTACTGGTCCCGGAGGAAGCAGGCAGGTGGGGGATCCGAGTCCCCCCAAGTCCCCTGATACCACGGGATGAGGAGCCGCTCCCGCCCAGGACCGCGAGTCTGGGCCCAGTGTGAGATTCCGGTTGTTTCTGGGATTCCCTGCATACGCTGAGCTGTAATGAATCTCACATTGTTTGGCCAAGGCCACTAAAGTGCCACGTGTCAGCCATCGGCCCGGCTGATGGGGCCTCCACTCCACGGTGTTCTTGGTGTCCTCGGGAGAGGCAGCCCCATGCCCCGCTTCCCACAGCCCCTGTGTGGGAGGCAGACAGGGCCCCAGGGCTGGATAGACACAGGCCACTGTGGCTGATTCTGAGCAAACAAAGGGACACGGGGAGTGGAGTGGTGCTTCGGGGAAAGGGGCTCATGGGGTGGAAGGGCCTTGGAGGGGGCCGGGCACTGAGATGGGGCCCAGCTCTGCAGACTGCAGGGCTGTGAGTGTGTGGGCATGGGGCGGGTGGAACCTCCAGAAGACAGCTCTGAGCCGAGTGGGAGCAGACACGGGTCAGCCTCTCCAGGACCCATCTCCCACCCACACTCCCACAGAACCGGCACTCCAGAGAGCTCAGAATGCCCAGCTACTTTGACAGGAGCTCCGGGAGTGAGCTGTGTGGGTGTCTGACTGGCATGATCAAGGAACATGGCCCCAGATGTCCCACACTCACCCCTGCCCCTTCTGACGGTTACTCTCAAATCCTCACAACCCTAAGGGCCAACTGGGAGCTGGGCATAATGGTGCTGACCTGCAATCCCAGCGCTCCACCCAGAGGTGGAGGAGGGTCACCAGTTCAGGGCCAGTCTGGGCTACATAGCTATCCCTGTCTCAAAACCAAAGACAAAAAAAAAAAATTACTCGGTGGGTTTTCCACAAACTGAACAAAAAGCTATAGAAAGGCCAGGCACCAGTGGCTCAGGACTGTCATCCTAGCTACTCAGGAGGCTGAGATCTGAGGTTATGGTTCAAAACCAGCCAGGGCAGGAAAGTCTGTGAGACTCTTATCTCCAATGAACCACCAGAAAACCAGAAGTGGCGCTGTGGCTCAAGTGGTAGAGCGCTCGCCTTGAGCTGAAGAGCTGAGGGACAGCGCCCAGGCCCGGAGTTTAAGCCCCACAGCAGACCAAAAAAAAAAAAAAAAAGCTGGTGCAGTGATTCACACCTGTAATCCCATCTTTCTGGGGAGGCTGGTGGGACGTTCACTTGAGCCTGGGCACCACAACAAGGAGGCCCCTGCCTCACAAGAAAAAGAAAACAATAGCAACCATGCTAGCCTAGCCTCATAGCCCCGCTCAGCCCCTTGTCAGGTCCCTGGGCTGGGGTCACAGTGCCCTTTGGTGACAGGTCTGTCCCCAGTCCCCTCCCCTGGCCTTCCTGCCCCGAACCCTCCCTCCCACCTTCAGCACAGCCTAGAGACTGGGTCCTACCCCTGATCTCACCACCTCATAGACCCCCACCCCACACAAACCCTCCAAGACAGGACAGACTCTAGCCTAGGCCCACAGGGTTGGAGAGGGGCAGAGACCAGGGATCCCAGGGTACCGTGTCCAGCCCAGGGCTCTACAGCAGGCCGGAGCAGGACTGGGTAACCTCACTCAGAGACTCCTGCACACACGGTCCTGCCCCCACTGCTGTGCCCTGGGGCAGCTCACTGGAGTCCTGGCTGTGGGAGTCCTTCTCTAGCAGGGGCATCCGCTCAGCGGCTGCACAGGGCCCGGGCTGAGGGGCTTCTCTGGCAGTAGCACAGGTGTCCAACTAGGGGCCGGTGCCGTTGGGTATGCGTGCAGGATTCCTGGGCAGGGAGCTGGAACAGTGAGTGTCCGGGGGCCGGGTTCACCCTGGACACGGATCCCGGGACACTGTGCTGTCCTCTTCCTCCCTGTTTCTCAGGCTGGACCTGGCCAGCAGCCTGCACTGCAGGTGAGACTCTGACCCAGGGAGGCTGTGGACCTTCAACCCAGATGCAGCCTCGACCCAGCAGAGTCCTCCCTGGGAGGACCGGAGCTGGCTGAGGGAGAGGAGGCTTGGATCAGGCGGGATGGGGGCGGGAGGCAGAGCGTGGATGGGTCCACGCCAGGTCCCCGGGAGTGCGTGGGGAGGGGCACCTGGCCCCTGGGTGTGGGAAGGCCACGCTCTGTCGGCCGGCTTGCGCACCAGCCCCCGGGACAAGGTTCTCCCTGCCGCCCAGACCCATGTGCTCTGGGCCCTGCCCTCACTCTGGCAGACAAGCAGCGAGGTCAGGGCACAGATGTGCAAGCCTGGGGTGCTGTCGGGCCTCCTACTCCCAGATGTGACTCCCCAGCAGACACAGTGCCCGTGTGGGGCAGCCCCGCCACTGAGGCCCTGCTGAGACCGTCCAGAAGGGGGTTCGGCCCCCAAGGGAGGGGCGGGCTGTGACACCTCTGCCTCTGCCCAGGATGGAAGCCTCGTGCCTGGAACTGGCGCTGGAGGGCGAGCGGCTGTGCAAGGCCGGAGACTTCAAGGCGGGCGTGGCCTTCTTTGAGGCCGCCGTGCAGGTGGGCACGGAGGACCTGAAGACGCTGAGTGCCATCTACAGCCAGCTGGGCAATGCCTACTTCTACTTGAAGGAGTATGCCCGTGCCCTGCAGTTCCACAAGCATGACCTGCTGCTGGCACGGTGAGCACCCCAGGGCTGGGCCTGAGAGGAGTCTGTCCCTGCGTGTGTCCCACGTGCATCCTGGGTGCATCCTGCGTGCGTCCTGTATGTGTCCTGTGTGCATCCTATGTGAGTCCTGTGTGCATCCTGCGTGCATCCTGTGTGCATCCTGCATGCATCCTGTGTGCATCCTGTGTGCATCCTGCATGCATCCTGTGTGCGTCCTGCATGTGTCCTGTGTGCGTCCTGCATGTGTCATGTGTGCATCCTGCATGTGTCCTATGTGCATCCTGTGTGCGTCCTGTATGTGTCCTATGTGCGTCCTGTGTGCATTCTGCGTATGTCCTGTGTGCATTCTCCGTGCATCCTGTGTGCATCCTGCATATGTCCTGTGTGCGTCCTGTGTGTGTCCTGTGTGCATCCTGCATATGTTCTGTGTGTGTCCTGTGTGCATCCTGCATGTGTCCTATGTGCGTCCTGTGTGCATCCTGCGTGCATCCTGTGTGCATCCTGTGTGCGTCCTGTGTGCATTCTGCGTATGTCCTGTGTGCATCCTGTGTGCATCCTGCGTGCATCCTGTGTGCATCCTGTGTGCGTCCTGTGTGCATCCTGTGTGCATCCTGCATGTGTCCTATGTGCATCCTGTGTGCATCCTGCATATGTCCTGTGTGTGTCCTGTGTGCGTCCTGTGTGCACCCTGTGTGGGGTCACTCACACACAACTCTGTGTCTACTTAGGTGCAACCTCGGGCACCACCCAGAAGTGTTGCTCCTGGTGTTGGGGCTCTAAGCTCACTCCTTGCTGCCTGCTCTCACATGTGGCCCTGTCCCTAGAGTCCCTGGTCTCCCTGTGAACCCTATGCTCTGCAGGCTTACCTCTTCCCACCTCTGCCCCTTTCCACCCTTCTCCCTCACTCCAAAGTGTCCAGTCTTGTCCAGTCCCCGGGCCTCTGCTCTGCAGGGTCCTGTTGGGTCCCCTCCTTTGCATCACCAACAGCTCTCCCCCTCTTCTGATCTCCTAAGTGGAGTGATGTCCACACTGGCCTCCTACCCCAAGGAGCCCCATACCCTGCCCTCAGCCTCAGCCCTCAGCCTGAGTGAATGTCCACTACTTATCCCTCCACCGCCAACCCCTTCCCGGCTTTCCCCAGGCCCTGATAGCTGCGTGAGGCCTGCCCAGGTCCCTGCTGGGTGGGCAGCAAAGGAAGGACTCTTGCCCCAGGGCTGTGCTCAGAGCCTCCCCTGCCCGGCATCACGCTCCTGCACCTCCCCGGGCCAGGCCCTGCTGGGCTCAGGGCCCAGCCCATCCTCCGCCTGGCTCCTCACTCCCTCCTGCCTTCTAGGACCATTGGTGACCGCATGGGGGAGGCCAAGGCCAGCGGGAACCTGGGTAACACGCTCAAGGTCCTGGGCCGATTCGATGAGGCTGTGGTCTGCTGCCAGCGCCACCTGGACATTGCCCAGGAACGGGGCGACAAGGTAGGTGACCGGGCCCCAGGGCCATCATCGTCCCCCTGCTCTGCCCTCTGGCCCGTGCCCAGGCTGAGACCAGGCAGGGGTGCCACACCCCTCAGCCTTCCCCCACAGGAAGGAAGACCCCCGATGACTGTGAAGGTGCACGGTCCCTCGGAGACGGGGCCCATTAGCTCATGTGGCTCCCCAGCCACGGCCCCTCCCATCTCCCCCTCTGCCCAGCTCCCCCAGCTTGTCCAACACCCAGCACTCCTTTGGGGGTCCAGGAGGAGATGGGAGGCAGGGCTGGGAGGGCTCCTCCAAGCTACGAAATAGACCAGGCTAGAGTAGCTGTAGGCCGGCCCCACCTCCTGCCACAAGTCTGGCCTGCGCCGCTTTCCCTCCGTACCGTGTGGCTGAGCATCTGTGCTGCCGTGGGCAGGTGGAAGGTCACGCATAGGCAGCTGGCACGCGCCCCTGCACTGGAGCTCTCCCCCTCGGCCATTAGCACCCAGGCCCGGTCAGGTCTGGTCCTCACCAGAGGAAAGGACCCCAGGCTTCCTTGCATCCCTTCCAGAGGGTCCAGGGCAGCGAGTGGGCCCGCGGGCCGGCACAGGGCCTCTGCACACCTGGGGTGGGCTCCGTGGGGAGCTGTGGGCCCAGCCCACACCTCGGCACCGCTTGCAGGTCGGAGAGGCAAGGGCGCTCTACAACATCGGCAATGTGTACCACGCCAAGGGCAAGCAGCTGTCCTGGACCTCCGCCCAGGACCCCGGGCACCTGCCGCCCGACGTGCACGAGACCCTGCACAGGGCCTCCGAGTTCTACGAGTGAGTGGGGCTGGCACCCATGTCCTGGGCTCCCCAAACACTTCCTAGATACACCCCTCAGCCCCGTCCACCACCCCTGGCAGGACTGGCTGGACCCAGCCAGACCCCCAGCCCCGTAGCTCAGATGGAGCCAGGACACCGCCCCAGCCACCCAGTCGCCAGGACACCCCCTGGCAGAGCACGGAGAGCCCTCCAGCCTTCCCTGGGGCTGGAGGGGACTCAGCTCAGACAGCCTCGGTCCGCAGGAAGAACCTCTCGCTGGTGAAGGAGCTCGGCGACCGCGCAGCCCAGGGCCGGGCCTACGGCAACCTGGGCAACACCCATTACCTGCTGGGCAACTTTGCCGAGGCCACAACCTTCCACAAGGAGGTGAGCCAGGCCGGGCCAGCGGGGCAGTGGCAGGGCCCTGTGGCGGCTGGGCCCAAGGTGACCCCTCGTTTTCAATGACAGAGGACCATGGGGGAGCAGGGGTGCCCCATCCACCCCTGGCTCCATGGACACTTGGTGCTGGGGTCCATGGTCGGCTCTGGCTGCCCTGCGCAGGGAGGCAGCCCCCCCCCACGCTGCCGGGCCGCTCACGACCCTCTGGGGCTTGGGTGTGTCTGCAGCGGCTAGCCATCGCCAAGGAGTTCGGAGACAAGGCAGCCGAGAGGAGAGCCTACAGCAACCTAGGCAATGCCCACATCTTCCTGGGCCGCTTCGACGTGGCTGCTGAGTATTACAAGTAGGCGGTGTCCTGACCCCCAGGGAGGGAGGCTCCCTGGGAGCCGGAGCCCGGCCCGGGCGGGAGGGGTCTTTCCGCCTCGGTCCTCCCTTCTGAAGGGCAAACAGATGAAACTCCTGAAGTTGTGCCCAGCCATGGGCCATCTCCCTCCCGGCCTGAGCACCAGCCTCCAGGAGCTGAGCCCTCATGACTGGGTCCTATCTCAGGCCCTGAGTCCTGGGTCCCAGTGTCCTGGGCTGCCTGGGGGGGAAATAGCAGCTCAGGGTGCTGAGAACTTGGTGCTCCTCAAAGCCCACAGGACAGGAGTGCACGTGGTGCCGGGGGCACCGGAGCATGGGGACGCAGCCAGGCCTGCAGAGCCCCGGGCGGGGGGTTAGGCTTGGGCTGGAGACCACCACCCAGGCTTCTCTGCACCTCCCACCCTCGCCTGCCCCCGCTGAGCGTGGACATGGCACTGACCCTGGCACTCTGTGCAGGAAGACACTGCAGCTGTCCCGGCAGCTCAGGGACCAGGCGGTGGAGGCGCAGGCTTGCTACAGCCTGGGCAACACCTACACGCTGCTGCAGGACTACGAGCGCGCGGCTGAGTACCACCTGCGGCACCTGGTCATCGCTCAGGAGCTGGCTGACAGGTGCGTGGGCACCGCCGGCAGGCCCAGCCAGGCCTGGGGGATGCTGGCATGGCGGACGCAGCATGGCCTCCCCCTCACTGGGCAGCACAGGGACCCCAGGCCAATGTGCTTTCCCCTTTTCTACGTAAATGCCATCCCTAGAAAGACAGATGGGACAGGCCTTAGGCTGCTGTTCTGGGAGTGGAGGTCGCTCAGGGAGATTTCTCTGCCAGCCACTAGGGGGCGAGCCTGGCCATGAGCCCAGTGCCTGATGCTCTGCCTGCCCGCAATGGATGGCCCAGACGTGTCTCCTCGCAGGCCGCTTTGCAGGCTAAGGGTTCTGAGATAACTCCGTGACAGGATAGGAAAAAGAATACAGGCCTGGACACCGGTGGCTCATGCCTGTCAGCCCAGCTACTCAGGAGGCTGGCTGAGATCTGATGATCACGGTTCAAAGCCAGCCTGCACAGGAAAGTCTGAGACTCTTACCTCCAATTAACCAATTAGCCACCACAGTGCCGTGGCTCAAAGTGGTAGAGGGCTAGCCTTGAGTGCAAAAGCCCAGGACAGTGCCCAGTCCCTGAGTTCAAGCCCCACAATTGGCAAGAAAAAAAGAATGCAGCTGTTTGGGGCTTCTCCCTGCTGGCGGCCAGGTGTGGGCGGTCCTGGACAGTGGGGACGGGGTCAGTACAGCAGAGAGCGTGTGCTGTCCAGTCAGTGCCTCTTAGGCATGGGGTCTTGAGAGGACCCACACCAGAGAGCTTGGGACAGTGGGCAGGCCTGGCAAGGGTGGACGTGGACTGTCTCCCTTCCTACAGGGTGGGCGAGGGCCGGGCATGCTGGAGTCTGGGGAATGCCTATGTGTCCATGGGGAGCCCAGCGCAGGCCCTGACCTTTGCCAAGAAGCACCTGCAGATCTCCCAGGAGGTGAGCGGCCCAGTCCCCGGTCCTCCGCCTGAAGTCCCGTGTACTACCCCTCCTCCCCCACCCAGCAGCCCCCAGCCCCGTGGACGCCAAGTTTCCACTGTCTGCACGGGCCAAAGACAGGAGCCCACTGTACACTCCTAGTCTTAGTGTGCTGTGGGAGACCCACAGCTACTGAGTGCCCTGCCCTTACTTCTATGGACCTCAGCCAGGCTGGCCATGGGGTCCCTGTGCCCTCTAGAGGTGGCCTGGGGGCTTCCTCAGACCCCCCTAGCTGGACTTCATCCGGGAAAGCTGTGTCCTCCTCATCCTTGGACGGATGGCCCAGACCCCTCCTGTGGGCAGGCGGGGTCACCACAGGTAGCCCTGGTCTCCCCTAGCACGGACAGACCAGTTCTGCCACCCATGCCAGCTCCACGTGGGGGACCCCGGCAGAGGTGGGGGTCAGGAGGCGCTGCCTGGAGACCCCTGCCAGGGGCAGGCCTCCAGAGCCCACCAAGCCCCCTGGCCACCAGGCCACGAGGCCACCTGGTAATGCAGGTGTCCAGGAGGCCCCTGAGGGAGCCTGAGACTGATGGGGTCTGAGTAGGAGACCCGGCCCCTGGGGTCTGTGTCAGGGCTGAGCTGACCTCCCACCCGGTGGCACCACGGGACACGGACCAAGCTGCCAGGGACTCTGAGCACTTCTGGAGTATGGCTAGGTCCTGTCAGGGACCCCCAGAGACAACAGACCCCCAGAGATGACAGGAGACCCCCCAGAGATGACAGACCCCTCAGGGGTCACCTGCGTCCTCTCAGAGGCCAGAGGTCAACATAGGCTGCCTGGGGGACTGGGACCCATGGCTGACCTGGGAGCGGTCCCAGCTCCGCCCACTCACCTGACCCTCCTGGCTGTAGATTGGGGACCGCAGCGGGGAGCTCACCGCCCGTGTGAACGTGGCACAGCTGCAGCTGGCGCTGGGCCGCCTGACCAGCCCAGCCGCCACCGAGAAGCCTGACCTCGCCGGCTATGAGGCCCAGGGTGAGTTCCCAGGGCTGGGCCGGGGCCATTTTTTATAGGCCCAGTCTAGGTTGCAGTTTGGTGGGGGGGGGGGGGAGGTCTAGTGCTGCCAGGGCCTCAGCTCGGTGCAGGCTCGGGGTAAAGGGCACAGGAGGCAGCTTCTGCCAAACGCAGGCGCTCCCGGAGCTAGCAGCCAGAGGAGGGGCGGCCCCGAGGCCGTGTGGCTCCCCTCTGCCCAGCCTGGCACAGGCCCAGACAGACTCCTGCCCTGCTCCCGGGGTCACTGCCTGGCAACCAGATTCGGCCCCGGGGCGCACACAGGAGAGTCAGGGTGAGGAGGCAGGACAGGAACTGACGTTCGGTGGGCTCAAGGCCGTGGGCGAAGGTGTGGTGACTGCTGAACCGCAGTCAGCCTAGGCGGCTTCTCACCCAGGGCCTGTGGCTGTCTCCTGGCCTGGTCCAGCCGCCCCCCACCCCCAAGCCATCCTGTGAGGGTGGGCTCCGTCCCGGGCCGGCGTGGGAGGGGCTGCCGGAGCCGGGAGAGGGGCCTGGCCTGCCTGGGGTACTAAGCTGGGGAGGTCCAGGCTGCGGCTGTCATAATGACCTCCTTCACAGCCTGTTGGTCCTCCATGCAGGTCAGCAGCACCACACACAGGGACAGAATGTTCCCTGCAAAGCAAATACATTAATACCTATGAGAGAGGGGGCCCGGTGAGGGATGCCATGCTGAGCTGGCTACCTGGGGTGGCGGGCAGGACTGGGCAGGGGGCAGGGTGCCTGCTGGATCTTGGGATTGGCACAGTGGAGCCAGTCCCCCGTGGCTGGATTCCCAAGGACACCCGGCCGCCCTGGCCTCCAGGGTCGGCCGGCGGGATCCGTCCACCATGAGCGACCTGGGACCCCAGCCTGGAGGGGTGGCGTGGAAATGGGTCTTTGGCATTTCTCACCAGGCCCTAGTTGAAGTACTGAGGACAGAGGAGAAGAGGCATCGCCTCTGCCCCCCCCACACACACCCCAGGAGCAGGGGCTCCATGATGACTGGGGAAAGGAGGGCAGCATCTGCCCGGCCGTAGCTCTGCCCGGCCCCGGATGTCCCCAGGGCGGTGGCTCTGCGGAGCCCTGGCGCAGCCCCCCAGCCCGCGTCCCCCAGCCCGAGCAGGCAGCTCTGCAAAGGCTCCTGCAGAGGCGGCCAGCTTTGTGTCCTCTTGACTCTTTCCTCTTCTCTGAGCCAAGGGAAAGGGGGGCATGGCACGGGAGAGCGGCCCGGGACAAGGCAGCTCTGTCTTCTGCACTGGCCGCCCCGCTCGGCCCTGCCTGACCCCTCCCAGCCGTGCTCCCGGAAGCCTCCCACCGCAGGCCGGGCCGCCTGGCCTGCTGGGAAGCCCCCCCACCCCAACCTGGGGCATGGTGCAGGGCTGCGGGGCTGGCGGGCTGCAGCTGCTGAAGGCGGACCTGTGTCCCGAGGGTCCGGGCAGCCCCGAGGGCGATGCCTGCCTTGGTGAGCCAGTGGAAGCAGGGCCTGGGGCACTGGAGTCTGGACTCTCCGCCACTGAGGGCTCCCACAGGTGACACTGATCACCTATCGCGGGGGGTACTGAGCTGGTCCTGCCCGGACTGTGCCTGTCTTCTGGAATCTGTCTCGTGGAGCTGGTGAGGGACAGATGTCTTTCCAGAGCCCAGATGGACAGATGTGTGTCCCGTGTAGCTTGGGGTGGGGGAGAAGCTCCTGGGCTGGGAGGGTGAGCTGGAGGAGGCGGGGAGGCGCTGGTGTGGTGCGGATGTGGCCGGGGCAGGGCCTAGTGGACGTGGGATTTTCATGCAGGTCCCGGTGGGCAGCCGGCTGGGCATCATTGTGCGCATGGGATGGTGGTGTGCCCCGGTGTGGCTTGGTCAGTGTCGGGGCTGGCGCCGGCCAGGGGAGAGGCAGGTGCCCAGGACTCAAGAGCGCCTCTTCCTGAGAGAACACGTGGATTTCACGTGACGGTGGGGGGGGGGACGGAGCGCTGCTGGCTCCAGCCTCCCTCCGCCGGCCTTCCTCCCCAGCAGAGCTCCACACCTGCTTCAGGGACAGAGGCGCCTCTGTGCAGCTTCCGGGCCGCCCTCCTCCCACAGCATGCCCTCCGGCTCTCGCTCAGGACCTTCTGCACGCCCTCCGCCTGCTGGGCCCTGCCCACGGCTGCCCTGGCACAGGCCCCACGGGACACACGCCCTTGGGTCCCTTTGCCACCTCTGGGTCAGGTGTTTGCGTGGTGGGGCGTCTGGGAGTGCCTCAGTACCCCACCCGTGGGACTGGGCGCAGTTCCGGCTGGGGGAGGGGCCGGGGGGCCATGCGGCAGGGGTGCAGTGCATCGGAGGGAGCTGGCTCCCAGCAGCCCCAGGGCTGGGGGAAGCTGCGTCGTGGCATGCGGAAGGACAAGAGGGGCAGCCCCGGGGGAGACACAGGTCCTGGAGGGGCGAGAATGGCGTGGGGCGCCCCCTGGGACGGCTGGCCGGGACAGGCTGGCCCGGGGGCTTAGGTGCCCCCCCAGATCAGAAACTATTGATAGCTGCTGACCATGTGACTGTCCAACTCAGGAGGGGGTGAGCTGTGCCGGGGAAGTTTCCAGGACTTGCCCTTGATGGGAGGGACAGGAAACAGAGCCAGGGGACCGGGGCCTGAGGCCCCTTCCAGACAGAGGGTGCATTGAGCTGGGCCTAGCAGGCCTCCACCCCGCAGCCAGGCGGTCAGGCCTCGCGCAAGAGGGTGTCCAGGCTTCTGCACAGCCGGGATGCGGTGAGGGCGGCAGGCGGCTCCAAGCCTCTGACAGCACTGAAGGCCCAGACGAGGTGGGGAAACCGAGTCTTGCCCCGGGGATTCCCAGGGGCTGCGAAGAGACAGGCCCGTGCCAGCTTGCCGTGCGGGGTGGAGTGGGCTGTCCCGGGGTCCGGTGAGTGGAGGCCCGGCGGCCCCTGGAGCAGACTTGCCCCCAGTGACCCGCAGGGCGCCCGTGTGGGGAGGGCACGCGCGCCGTGCGGTTTGGGGGTGGTGACGTCATTTCTTCCTCAGACCTGCTTTCCTAGCCTGGGAGTGGGCATCGAGGACCCCCGGCCCCCACTCCGTGCTGTCCCCTCAGCCACTCGCCTCCCAGTGCGTGATGGGCAGGCCAATTCGGGAGCCACACGGATGGCCAAGGTGGGGCAGACAGCCCCGGATCTGGGGTGCTCGTGTGGAGAGCTCGGAAGCAGCGTCCGGCCCTGCCCCGGGTGCTCAGCTCACGCTGGCCTGCGCCGCCCAGACGCCCGGCCCTGCCCTCGGCAGCCACCGGCCGGTGGGGCGCAGAGCTGGCTTCCTTCGCGCCCCAGGCAAGAGGAGTCCCAACCACCCCACGTCCCCTCCCGTGGTCCTGCCCTGAGTCACCGCCTGACTGTGAGGAGTAGGCCTCTGCCTGGGGCTTGTGTGGAGTCAGCCCGGCTACCTGGGGCTACCCTGGGATCCCGCGTCCTTGTTCTTATTCTCTCTACACAACCATCTTTTCAGGACACCCACTGTCTAAACTGAGGGCATGGACAGGCTGGGGGTGCTGGCAACTCGGTCTGGCATGGGTCTTCATGCCACCAAGACAACAGCTTGGCCCATCCAGAGCCACCACAGCCATACCCCAGCCCTCTCATCTGCAGTAAGAGCAGCTGGGGCCGGGTCGGGACAGGACCCCTTCCCCAGGTCAGAGCTGAGCATGGACTCCCCGACTCCCAGCCTCAGACAGCCACCACCCACCCGCCCCCGCTGCTCTCCTCTGCAGGCCGGGGCCCTGGGGGCCTGGGCCTCCCCGGAGATGCACAGGGCATGCTGCGGACAGGGCAGAGCTTAGAGGCCAGCTGCCCGGCACTTCCAGTTCCTGCCCCCTGCCTGGCGTGTTGTCCCTTGCCTGGCTGGCTCTGCTCTTCCATCTCAAGCCTCCTCCTCTGGGACCAGTGCTGCCCAGGGCCCCGGGGCCTTGGCTTGGCCTGTCATTCTTCACCCCCCAGCTCCGGCCCGGTCTGGCGGCTGGCCTTGGCTTCCCTGTGCGGACGGTGCTGCCCAGCCGGCTCTCCCTGGACCTTCTGTCCAGGTGCTGCCTGTGTTAGCACTTGGTATGGGGGGGCAGGCTAAACTGTGCCTGCCTCCCAGGGACATGTTTGGAACTGAGGTTTGGGGTCCCACTGCAGGGCTGCCAAGCGCTCGCGGCAGGGGCTGGCAGCTGCAGTGGAGCTAGAGGTCAGGATCAGGGCTGGCTCCTGTGGGGTGTGCCGGGGTGTGTGCGGGGCGTGCGGCAGGAGGAATGCACAGCCTGCAGGCGACACCCGGAGTAGTGAAGAGCCTGGACAGGCCCCAGTGCCGGGAGCCCCGCAGTCAGCCCCCAGGCCGCTCTCAGTCAGGCCTAGCCTTGCGCCCCCCCCCCAGCCACCCCAGTGTAGCCCAGGGACACTGGACACGGCGCTGCAGTGGCTGCTGTGAGCTGCTGGCTCCTGGGGCGTGGGCTGCCGCACCTTCAGCCCCCAGGGCTCCAACCTGGGCCCGCTGGCCGGCACCACTGACCCTGTCTTGCTGTCTTCCAGGGGCCCGACCCAAGAGGACACAGCGGCTGAGTGCTGAGACCTGGGACCTGCTGAGGCTGCCCCTGGAGCGGGTGAGCTGAGTGGGGACAGGGGGGCTGGGCAGGCGGGGAGGGGGGGGGCCGGGCTGGGGGGGGAGCTGAGCCGGGGCAGGGGAGCCAGGCAGGTGGGGGGGGGGAGCCAGGCTGGGGAGGAGCTGAGCCAGGGCAGGGGAGCCAGGTGGGGAGGGGGGAGTGGGAGTCAGGCTGGGGTGGGTGGACAGGGCTGGGATGAGCTGGGCTGGGGTGGGTAGTCTGGCTGGGGTGGGGAGCTGGGCCGGGGAGGGGAGCCGAGCTGCGGGGGGGGGGCGCGTGCTGCAGGGGAGCTGGGCCAGGGCAGATGGCTCAGGTGGGGACCAGCACCCTCAGTGGCGCTGTCTACTGTGAGCAGCGTGTTAATGGCCTCAATGGGTGGCATCTGCCCGGCCGGCCCCGTGCACTAGGAGACAAATGTTCTCAGTGGACTGCAGCCCCGCGTTGGTCCATCTGCCACCAGCCTCGCCTCCCCCACCTCCCCTGCTTCTTGCCAGCTGTGCGTCCCCAGGGAATGGCGGGGACCTTTCCCATCCCCTGCTCGGGCCCCATGCCTTGGTGGACCCGCCAGACCCTGTGGCTGAGGAGGAGGCAAAGCCTCCCGGTGGAGGAGCTGGTGGGGTGTAGCAAGCCCCAGGCGAATCTAGGGGGTCAGCAAGCAACACAGCAAGAGTGGGTGCTCTGTTACCCCAAGGCAGTGTGCTGACTCTCTGAACCTATGGCTCCTCCAGTATAGCATTGGTCTGGGGTCTCACGTGGGCCCAGGGACACCCAGTCATTGTCATTGCTTAGTGTGAGGTTGACATTTGGGAGGTCAGCATCCCCGGCGCACGGATGGGCCTGCACCCTCAGACATCCACAGCGCCCCAGCCCCAGCCCACAGCACGGAGGGCCCTGAAGCCCTTGGCTCCCTCCAGGCGGTTGAGCCCCCACCAATGGTCCGTGCCGCCATGGCTCCGGCACCTGCCCGGCCTTCTCTTTGGGGGCCTGGGACGGGCCCTCGGTTCAGAACTGCCCCGCCCACGCCCAGCCTGCTTCCCCCTCTCAGGAGCAGAATGGAGATACCCACCCGCCAGGGGACTGGCGGGGACTGGGCAGGGACGCGCTCCCGCTGCCCGGGAGGAGCAGGAAGTACCAGGAAGGGCTGGACCCTGCTGAGAGGCGGCCCTGGGACGGCAGCCACTCCCCGCTGGACAGCACCGATGTCCGGGTGCAGGTGCCTCGCTCGGTAGGTGGCTCCTCTCCTCAGCCAGCCCCGGGGGGCCAGGCCGGGCCTGGCTGCTCAGGGAGGCCGAGGGCCCCTCCGCCGGTTCTCCCCCCCCGCCCCCACCCCAGGCCTGGCGCTCAGGGCCGGCTCCCAGGAGCAATCAGGTGGGTTTTTCTGTTCCAAGTGGGCCTCAGTTTCCATCCTGTCACCAGTCGGGGCTAGTACCCCCAGCTCTCAGGTGGCCTTGCTTTCTGCCCCTGGCCCCCTCCCTGGCCCCCAGACCTGTGTGTGGGTCAGGAGGGACTGGCTAACCCTGCTCAGAGCCCGGACAAGGCCCCTCCGAGGCCCCTTGGAGCTGGGGTGTGCCAGGGCAGGGTGGGCTGGAGGAGACGGCAGCCTGGCACGGGTCTCAGGCCCCTCCAGCAGGAGCTCCTGAGGCAGCCCGCAGCCAGCAGCCCCTGGGGGTCTCCAGGAGCCACGGTGCCGAGGGTTCAAGCCTGCCCACGTGCCATGGTGCAGGGGAGGGGCCGCGGAGCAGGCCAGCCAACGTGTTGCTGGGGTGTCTGTGCATGGCTGCAGAGCCAGGGGTGGGGTCCCTCCTTGCCCCACGTGCAAACGGCCCCACGCAGTGTCCGTTACTGCTTAGGGGCAGGGATGGGGACACGGGCGGATGGCCAGGTGTGCGAATGGAAGACTGAGTAGGGACACGGACCGGCCGTAGAGGGACGGGCCCACGGCCCCTGTGCTCAGGGCTGGTGTCTCCAGGCACCCAGACAGGGTGAGGGTCCAGGGACACAGGGAGACTGAGTCTAGGCTCAGAGATCAGCACTGGGCCCTGGAGCAGCGCACCTGGGCGCAAAGGGCCTAGAAATTCACCTAAAACATGCCCCCCCCCTTAACCACCTCCCAGCCGGGCGGGCGTGGGCACGCCAGGTATTCTTAGTGCCAGGAGGCTGCCTGCAGCCCACCCTTCCCGCACCCAGGGCTGCTCCCATCACAGGAAGACATGAGGCATGCTGGGAACGTGGAGGCCGCCTCTCTGTGTGCTAGGGCAGGCCCCATGGAGGGCTGCTGAGGTGAGCCTCCGTTTCCCGCCCGTGCCCAGAGCCACCGTCAGCAGGTGGCCCAGCCCCGTCCAGGGGAGGGGTTGGGCCACACTGCCCAGGCCAGGAGAAGGACAAGGACGAGTCTGTCTGAGCTGAAGGAAGAGCAGCGTCTCCCCTCCTGCGGCCCTGCCTTGGGAGGAAGCCCAGGCCAGGCACGGGGCGGGAAGCAGACTTTCAAATCAGCTGTCCGCCCCCACGGCACAGCGTGACCACCCACTGGTGGAGGGGGGCGCTGCTGGAGCTCAGCTCGGGATCCAGTTCTGTGTTTATGGAGTGTGTGTGTGTGTGTGTGTGTGTGTGTGTGCATGTGAGGGGGAGAGAGAGAGAGAGAGAGGAGACAGGGAGCGAGGGCGGGGGCGGAGCTGGGAGGAGAGGGCCCAGCCCTCACCCTGGCTCCTATTTAAGTGTCAGGCAAACACCGTAGTTCCCAGCAGTGGCAGTGGGGCGGCATTTGGCACTCCGGGCAGGTGGCGGCGGCCGCGCCGGGCCTGCTGGCATCCTGCCTGGGCTGCACGTGGCTGAGAGCCCCACCGAGCTCCTGACTGCTGCTGCTGGAGGAGCCCGTGATCCCGCGTGAGTGTGGGTCCCCGCAGAGCGGAGGCTGGGGCCCTGGGGGCCTTTTGGCCAAGGTGGTGTGGTCCCAGCCAGCACCATAGCTGCCAGGCTTCCACTAAAGCAGAAGAGGTTACGGTCAGACTTCAGCAGGAACTCAGAGCTTCAAGGGGGAAGGAGGCAGGATTTGGGGGAGGGGAGGTGTTCCCCACAGTCCTCACACACAGGAAGCTGTGTCTAGGCCCCCAAGGTGATTCTCGGCGATGGGAGCTGAGCCGCCTCCGGCTGTCCGGCGCTCCCCGTGCAGTGCTGGGCCCGGCTCTTACGCAGGAGGGAGCGCCTGCTGCTGGAGGGGCTCTGGGCTCGGGGACGGGACAGCAGCGGGCATGGGGACACAGGAGCCAGTCTCAGCCCCGAGGTGGCCGTCTACATTTCCTCCCCAGCCCCTGGGCCGGGTCCAGGAGGGTCCTCGGGGTAAAGCTGCTGCGGCTCAGCAGCCCATGACTTGCCCGAGGCAGGCGGGCCTGGGCCGCGGGCTGGGGCGCAGTGGGGCAGATGGAGGGGACTCCAGCACAATCTCGTGGGCCTCCGTGGGGTGCCAGCCCCTCTGGCCACCTCTGCCTGGGCCCGCAGGCCAGCGGGCTCGCAGCGCCTGCCAGGCTCGGTGCCAGTCCTCCCATGCAGAGGGACACATCCTGGGGGTCCCAGGCTCATCCTGAGTGCCCAGAGCCCAGTGGGGTCTCCCCACAGATGTGCCCTGCCTGCCCTGCCTGCAGTGCCCTCTGCTGGGACCTCTGCTTTCAGAGAGCTGAGCCCAGTCCTCCACAAGGCCCCAGGTCTGCTGGCCTTGGCAGGTCACACGGCCCCTGCATGTGGGGCAGTCTTGGGCACTGGGCACTTGGGGTGGCCTTGGTCTGTGGTCCATGGAGGCCTCCAGTCATCTCCAAGTGGCCGGCTGGGGCAGGTGGGCAGGCGGGCAGGCCAGAGCACACCCTACCCACATGGCCCGCAGGCCCCAGAGAGGCAGACAGAGGCACAGTGGGCCTGCGGTGACCTCTCAGTTCCCAGGAGACCATGGATGTGTAAACTGAGGCCCCGGAGGGGTTAAGCTTGACCAAGGTCACCTGGCACCTGGGGCTCAGAGGCCGAGGGTCTCCACTCCCATCCTGCCCCCTCCTCGGACAATCGTGTGTCTCAGAGCACCCCCACTCCCATGCAGACCCCTCTCGGGGCTGGCCTGTGCCTCAGGGGTTCACTCTGGGCTGAGTTAGCCCCTACTCAGAGCCCAGATTAAACTCCTGCCCAGCTGCCCACTCCCCAACAGCCACACTCAGAGTTCCTGCTGCCACCCATCCGCCCAGGGCCCCAGATCCCGGCACTGCAGCCCCTGTGGACCCGGCACTGTCTGTGGGAATGCAGGGAGGGGCTGGCCAGACCCAGGAGGTAGGGACCCTACATGGCAGGAAGCCCCCACTTATCAGAGGCTCTGGGCAGGAGGGCAGCCGTCATTCCGAGGACTTTCCAGCTGCCTGTGGACTCCGCCTTCTGCCCCTTCTTCCCGCATGTGGAGGTCCAGGCTCTGCCCTCCAGCCTCACCAGGGTAGGGGGAGGCGGTGTGAGCGCTCTCTCACACCCCAGGATCTGGGCTCACTGGCTGCTGCCCTCTGGGCCTGCCTGCTGGCCTTATAACTGTGTTGCCCAAAGACAGAGAAGGAAGAACATAGGAGCCCTGACCTGCCCATCCCTGTGGTCTGGCCGGCCACCGCAACAAATCTCCCATGGCTGGCCAGGCCTGCCGCCGGCCCAGGCACGCGCCTGCGGCCTGAGCAGCGCCGTGCTCAGGTGGACTGGGTGGAGGCTGCCAGGCCCTCGAGGCGGAGTGGCCGGGGGTCGGCCGGGGGGTCGCTTAGGTTGAGACCGGGAGAGGCAGGCCCAGGCAGGGGCAGTGTAAGGTGCGGGGGTGCTGAGGCCCGGCCTGCGGCGCAGGGCGTGCAGCAGGTGTGGGCACGGGGCGCCCGGGAAGCAGGGATGGCGTCTGGGAGCTGAGGGGCTGCGCTGACCCCCCGGTGCCCTGCAGAGCGTCCCCAGAGCCCCCTCTTCCGACGAGGAGTGCTTCTTTGACCTGCTGAGCAAGCTCCAGAGCAGCCGCATGGATGACCAGCGCTGCCCCCTAGAGGAGGGGGCTGCAGAAGCCACCGCTGCCCCCTCCCCAGAGGAGAGGGCGGGTGAGTGCCGGGGAGGGACAGGGCCTACATCCCCCGCCCCCCTCCGTGGCCTCTCAGTACTGCCCCTGACGAGCCGTGACAGGCCAGCTGCGGCACACCCCTCCCGGGAGCAGCCCCCCACGTGCCCCCGTGCTGCATCCCGGGAAGCGCGTAATTATCCCACCCTCTGGAGCACGCATGGGCGCACGGCTGCCTCCAGCATGTGGGAGGCCAGGCTTTCTCCTGTCACCTCCTGGAAACCCAGGAGGCGGACGTGGGCACCATCCCAGGGGCCACCGGGGCCTGTGTCCCCAAGAATTCATCAGGCTGAGCTGGTCTCAGAAACCAGCACTTCCAGCTCCCCACCCCCACTCCCCGGGCTGGACGGGCAGCCCCTCCAACGCCCCCCTCTGCCCCCCACCCCTGCAGCTCAGCCGTCCATGACAGCCTCCCCGCAGACCGAGGAGTTCTTCGACCTCATCGCCAGCTCCCAGAGCCGCCGCCTGGATGACCAGCGGGCCAGCGTGGGCAGCCTCCCCGGGTTGCGGATCACCCACAACAACGTGGGCCACCTCCGAGGTGACGGGGACCCCCAGGAGCCCGGGGATGAGTTCTTCAACATGCTCATCAAGTACCAGGTGTGCCTGCAGCCTGGGGAGGGGTGGCCCCGGATCTGAGAGGCACGGGAGCCCTCGCCAAAGGCGGGGGGGGGCGCTCCCAGTGTGGGTCAGTCCCTCCGTCTCAGGCCATGTCCAGCCAGCCACTGGACTTCAGCAGGTGTTCAGGCTAGCCCTCCCCTCCCCAGAGGGAAGGTGCAAAGACAGCGGCCTTGGGACGCCGCGGCTCGGGTTGCCACCTCCTTCTGTGTGGGGCTGTGGGTCCCACGCAGCTCCCCCGCCTGGGCAGAAGCAGCCAAGGTCCCCGCCGCTCAGTTGAGGACCCACATGATGGCGGAGAGCAAGGGCAGAGGCAAAGCCAGAGCAGGGCCAGCAGGGTGGGGCAGGAGAGGGGTGGTGACCAGAAGCGCGGTCCAGTGGCCTCCGGACGGGGAGGCACGCCGTCGTGGGGTTTGGGGTCAGGCGACGCGGTAGCGTGGCTGGGGTCGGGTGGCTACTGCTGCGCCGGCTGCCAGCAGCGGCACAGTTCCAGATCTGATGTTCATTCCGCAGAGGAGACCAAACCACAGCCCCGGGTCAGCCGTCCGGAGAGCTGCCTCTAAGCCAGCCCCTCCCAAGAAGCCCAGAGCCCCCCGTCCACTCGCACGCATGCGCCAGCGACTGCACCGGCTCCCGTCCCTTCTGCTCCAGGCCCTTCCGAGGAGCCTGGGCACACCCCAGGCCCCCCGGCTTCCGTGCCAGGACAGGCAGGGGCAGTGGGCCGCCTGGCCCTCAAGGACCCTGGGGTGCTCCCCGCGGCCGGGGCTGGAGCTTCCGGGGTCAGTCTGGGGGCAGCGTCGGGTTCAGGTGCCAAACTGAGACCACTGCGCTCAGCCAGTCCTTGGGGGTCAGCAGGCTTTGGGGCGGGCTAGGGCGGACCCAGTCTCCTGGGCCTGGCTTGTTCCAAACCAGCAGGTATCATTTGGACTTTCTTGTGTGGACTAGTCCCAAACTCTTGGGGGGGGGCGGGGTGAGACCGCAGGAGGTATCGGGACGCAGTTCTACCTGGGGCCAGGCAGGTAGACACAAGGAGGCCGAGATGGCCGGATTAGATTCACCTGGATCAGAGGAGTCGCCCGCTTCGGGGCCCAGGCCACTGCCCTGGAGCTGTCTGGGGCCCCCTGACCACTGGGCTCCAGGGCAGGCCTCCCGGGTCACCCTCCTGCACACATCTGTCCAGTCCTCCAGGATTGATGACCAGCGCTGCCCGCCGCCCGACGTGCTGCCCCGGGGCCCCACCATGCCGGACGAGGACTTCTTCAGCCTCATCCAGAGGGTGCAGGCCAAGCGGATGGATGAGCAGCGTGTGGACCTCTCCGGGAGCCCCGAGCAGGAGGCTGGCGGGCCCCCTGAGCCCCAGCAGCAGTGCCAGCCTGGCACCAGCTAAGACCTTCCTCCCCCACCCACAGCCAGGCCTGCCCGCTCCCTGCTCCAGGTCTCAGGTCCACGGTGGCCACAAGAGCCCAGGCCCTTCCTAGTGAGCTGGGTGCTGGGTGTGCAGCCTGCAGGGCATCTGCCTGCCTTCGGCACGGTGCGGGCCAGGGCCGCCATGCTGGGGAGGGTGTGCTCTGTTCCGCACGGCCAGGCTGGCCCTCAGCATGTTGACCCCACATCCCGGTGCTGCCAAGACCTGACCTCCCCCACCCCCAGGCTTTGTCCTGCCCCACCAAATGTGAAAACCTGCCCTGGCCATCCCTGCCACACACAGGGGGCTCTGGAGTCTTCTTGGGTTCTGGAGACATGGGTGTGTTCTGTCCCCAGCTGGTCCTGGGGTGCTCATGCAGGAGGCCCACTCTGTGCCCTCTGCCTCAGCCCCAGAGCAAGGCCCTGTCCCAGCCCGTCTCCCTACTCCTGCCCCAGCTCGAGGACATGGCTGCCGGGCAGCCACAGGGCAGTGGGGCAGGCAGGTGCCCACCATATTGGTATGCTGTCTTGGGCCCAGAGGGCCTTAAAGCCACAGCGCTTGGCCCTGTCTGCAGAGCAGGAGGGAGGGGACAGAGGCTCCAGTTCCTCAAGTCCTTCAGCTCGGCCAGCCCCGAGCCAGGGACACACATGGGGCCTGGCCCTAGGGTCCGGCCGGCGGTGGGCACTGTGGCACCAAAGAGGGACTGAGCTGAACTGGGCCCCTCTGAACCCCCCAGCACCCTTGCCAGCCAGGGGAGAGGGCATCATGGCCTTCTTTCCAGGGAAGGGTCCAGGCCCTGTGTGTGTTGAGTTGGCTGCAGGGCACCGTACGGGGGACCCAAGACTCAGGCAGGACCTGTGTAGCCCCAGGGGGCAGGCCACGCGGGGACCCACGGGCAGCACCTCCAGCCTGGTGCCCACTCCACTTCCTGGGTGGGAGGGGCAGGGCGCCTCAGGGCCAGCCCCAGCCCGGCAGGGACCTGCGTCCAGCACCGCCCGGTGTCACCGCATACTTGAACGCACATGCATATTTATTGCTCACATTTGCCATGTGGTCAGCGGCCCTTTCCAACCCGAGAGGTACGTTTCTGGTTTTCCCCCCAAAATAAAGTCTGCCAAATGAATGTGACTCCCGCTGGGACTTGTACTGGGGAATCCAGGATAGATTCTCCCCCTCCCCACCCCTGCACGTGCGAGCGAACACACACACACACGGAGCCCAGAGGGTGCCTCTGACCTGAACACACACAGTGCCTACCAGCACTGAAGCCTCGCCCACCTGCCAATTCCCAGAGGGGGCCCAGGGCAGCTCAAGGGTTACGCAGTCCCCTGCCACCAAAGCCCACAGGTCCCAAGCCAGGACTAATACCACTGGTCCCCATGCCCCTCCCTCTTTGTCTAAGCTGCCCAGGGACAAAGGGTAGAGGTCAGATGAGGCAGCAGCAAGCATCGTCCTGTGGCTGACCACATGGCCTGCGCCCCCCCCCAGCCCCCGGCCCTGCGGCTGCGCACACGGCTGTGCCCCAGCCAGGAGTCTCCTCCGTGGAGACCCCAATTCAGCTGGTCCAGACAAGCGGAGTGTGAAGCAGCCTGGCTCATCTTCGGTGCTTGTGAGACACCCCAGATCTGACCTTCCGGAGAGAGGGTCAGCCTGAGGCCACAGGCGCAGCCCAGGGAGGGGGCAGCAGAATCCAGGCCCAAGCTGCCGCGCCAGCCCCAGAAAAGGCTCCACGGGGGGACGGGCCTGCGGCAGTGTGGTGGCCAGGAAGCCGCCAAACTTCCAGACAGTTGCTGCTCAGGTGTGGGGAGGCCAACGGGAGGAGGCGGCTGCCCTGGAAAGGCAGGTGCCCAGAGGAGGACACGCCCACCCCACCACAGGGCCGCATGGCAGTGCTGGGCTGGCGGGGCGCAGGGGTGTGAGCAGCCCTTACTGTGGTTCCCACAGAGAAGAGACAAGGGGAAACAGGCTAGCATCGGCTGCGTAGAGCTGGAATAGCGGCCCAGCCTTGAGCCCACAGCAGGCCGGCCCACAGGCTCACGGGGTGTTTTGTGGGAGGCAGGGCTTGCAGTGCGGCCCTCACAGGTTTGCACCCACATGGAAGCCCCAGAAGCAGAGCAGCAGAAAACAGAAAAAAAAAGAAAAAGAAAAAGGCCCAGGGAAGGGGAGGAGACACATGGAGACGGAAAGGGTGGGCGAGTGCCCTCATAACACTCAATGTCCGTATGTGACAATGGTGCCAGGAAATTTGAGGGCTGGGAGAGAGGGGGAAGGACGGAAGGGTTGGCAGCGATCAAGATGCGCTGTGCTCAACCTGACGTGCTGAACTGAAACCCTTTGTACAACAAGTCGGTGAAAGTAAAGAAGATGCAGCAAAGACACACATCCAAGCAACAGGCTTCAGCTTCTCCATCTTGGATCCATTCAGTCCGGTCAGAGGACCCAGGGAAGAGGCGGCTGGGCCCAGCCTGTGCCCACTGGCCTCCCAGGAAACTGCAGCTGGTCCCTGTGCCCTCGGTGCCCTCCACGGAGCAGCAGGCGGAGGCGGGGGGCTGGCTCAGCCTCCAGGAAGACAGCTCCCACAAATGGCACAGGAGGCGCTGGGTGGGAATAATAGCAGGGTGTTTGCCCAGGGAAGGACAGGGGGTAATCAGATCGAGGTGCACGCAGCCACACAGGCAGCCTCCCACGCCAGGCAGCGCAGGGGATCACTGCAGGGTCCCGAGGGGATGGAGCCACATCGTGTCCCTGTCCTGCTCGGCTCAGCTCTGCTCACGGCACCCCCACCCCCTCCGCTCCCAGGTCTCCCCCCGCCAGACTCGCTGGTGTTATGTTGAAGATCACGCGGCCCAGCACACTTCTAGAAACAAACCGTCCAGCGTCTGCTCACTTCCTTAAACACAGGAACATCCTGAGGGCCAGTCAAACAAAAGCAGAGACAAAACACACGGCTGAAGAAGGGCTGAGGAAGGGCAGGGGGACTCTCCTGTCTGTCCAATGCATTAGACTCCCCCCACCCCCGCCCATCAGGCAGCTCCAGAGACACCCCCCACCCACGCCCCTCCCCTTCCCAGCTCCAAGTCCTCTCTGCGTGGCCACTGGAATTTGCTATGACCAAGGACCAGGCTGGCCCTGGTTCATGGGGAGGAGCCGCCTGTGCAGGGCAGAGGACAGTGGGCGACACATCCTCTAATTGCAGCCAACCCCCTGCCCCATTAGTGCGGCTCGCTGCAGGCAAACACTGGATGACACCTCTGCAGTGGGGAGGGGGTCTTGTAGCCACAAAGAGGGCTCACGCGGGAGTCATTCTGACTCCAGGAAAGACAGACAGACCCAGTGCATGAAGGTGACGTTTGTTTACTGACAAGAAGCAGGCAGAGTCTGAGAGGCCGGGACTGATGGAAGCATTTTGTGGAAGGCAGGAGTCCACAGGCAAGCACCACACAAGTCATCTCTGCTCTGTCTGGCTGGGGTGGGCAGGATCCTCACCTTCACCCTCTTCTGGGGCAGTGGGGGAGCTTGGAGCCCCCCCAGGCTCCAAAGTCAGTTCCAGAGCTCCTTCGCCAGCCACCCGGCGTACTTTCTCCCCTTTGGCTGCCAGGATCTCTTCAATGTTCCTAACAGACAGGGAGGCAGCATTACCCCTACACCTGACCCCTAAAGAACATCCTATGTGCCAGGTGCTGTGGCTCACGCTTGTAATCCTAGCTACCCAAGAGGCTGAGATCTAAGGATCATGATTCAAAGCCAGCCCAAGCAGGAAAGTCTATGAGACTCCTCAATTAGCCAGCAAAACACCTGGAAGTGGAGCTGTAACTCAAGTGGTATAGCACTAGCCTTGAGTGAAAAAGCTCAGGGACAGCACCCAGGCCCTGAGTTCAAGCCCCTAGACCAGCACAAAGAGAAATAAAGAGAAACACCTCATATCTAGCTCAAGCCAGAAGCAATTTCTAACGTGCAGGTGGTATCAGAGCCGTGGGCACCTTGTGAATCTTCACAAACCCCTCCCTGTGTGTCTGCAAGCAAGGTTAACCTTGGGAACCAAGAAACAAACATAGGCTGCCATCTCCCCTGCTGGGGGCACCGTGGTCCTCCATGCCTGCCCGCCCTCCAGGCCCTTCTCCACAGCCCAGGTCTGACAGCACTATGGCCAGGCCCCAGCAGTGCATTAACAGCCAACCTTGCAGGACTGCAGGAGCTGCCCCATCCTGTCCCATCCCGTCCACAAGGACACGGAGACAGAAGTTACAGTGTATGGCCCCAGCCCTCAGCCAGGGCCAAAGAAGGCAGCTCCTGACAGATGGGGTACAGAACAGATCCACTCCAGAAATTACCAAAAACATCAGAAGCATCCAAGAGGAGCTTAGTTGGCCTAAAGTGTACTGAGACATTTGGGGGGGGGGTACCCACAGAATACCACAAAGTTATACATGGCCTATCTGAAATCCATGTCCTGTCCAGACAAGAAGGTGGGGCTGCCCAGGTAGGATCCAGAACTCAAGCGGGGTGAGGTGTCTCAGAGAGGCGGGCGTGGGCTGCTGAATGGACTCTTGGCCAAAAACGAGGGCCTGTGCTGGGGTACAGCCCGGGCTCTGCCGGCTGGTCTCACCTCTTCCCGTCCAGGTCAGAGAACCAGCCCAAGTTGTCGGCGATGATGTGGTGGTTCTGGCAGCCCGGGCAGGTCACGATGACCACACCCCGGTGATAGGCTAGCTTTGAGATGCGCTTGGAGGACCGGGTCTCACAGACCTGGCTGAGAATGAGGATGCTCAGGGGAGGAGCCCACGGGGCAGCTCCACCCCTTCACGAGGCCCCGCCCCGTCGTAGCCCCGCCCCCAGGCAGCCGGCCTCCATCCTCTAGGAAGGCCTCTGGGAAGACCGCACCCAGGACGACCCCACCCCCTCACTCCTCGGGCCCCGCCCCTCCGGGAAGATCCGCCCCTCACTCCTCGGGCCCCGCCCCTCCGGGAA